GATGGATGGATGGATGGATGGATGGATGGATGGATGGATGGATGGATGCGTGGGTGGGTGGATGGATGGATGGATGGATGGATGATAGATAGAACGAGCAGAATACAGACTAACAGAGTTGGAAGGGACCTTGTAGGTCATCTAGTCCAACCCCCACTCAAGCAGGATACCCTTCATCATTCCTGACAGATAACAATCCAGTCTCTTCTTGAAAGCCTCCAGTGATAAAGCTCCCACAACTTCCAAGAAAAAGCTGTTCCATTGGTTGATTGTTCTCACTGTCAGAAAAAAAATCTCCTTATTTCCAGGTTGAATCTCTCCTTGATCAGTTTCCATCCATTATTCCTTGTCTGGCCTTCAGGTGCTTTAGAAAATAGCTTGACCCCTTCCTCTCTGGGGCAGCCCCTCAAATATTGGAAGACTGCTCTCCTGTCTTCTCTTCTCTTCTCTTCTCTTCTCTTCTCTTCTCTTCTCTTCTCTTCTCTTCTCTTCTCTTCTCTTCTCTTCACTAGAAGAGAACACTAGAACATCTGTAGACTATGCAGAAGAAACAATCAACCAGCCCAAAAGAGAACCAAAAAAAAAAGACTCCAGCATTTCTCCACCACTAATCAGCATGCAGATCAGCATAGATTTAACTCCAAGGTTAACATCAGATCAACTATCAAGTCAACAAGAATCAAGAAACTACCAAAGAGCCATCAGTAAACAGCCCAACTAAAAAGATCTCTAAGCCCATCTCCACCAACACAGACAGGGCAAGCTACCAGAATATAAACTTAGAGCAAACCACACTCCTGACTAGCACTGATGATATTACCCAGCTGGGTCATGAAAGGTCTGCAAGAAAACCAGCAAGCTCAGAGAGCACCAAGGGCCCCCTCATTTCAACCCTGAGCTATATTCCTTTATTGATATAGTATAATTACTTTGGTGAATGTTATCACAATTGTGGGGGAAAATTGCTCCCTGTTTTCCTGGTGAATGTAGCTACAACCACCCAACTCTTATTTTATTCAATGAGCATAGAACATAAAGTAATAGGGATGGAAGGGACCTTGGAGGTCTTCTAGTCAACCCCCTGCTTGAGCAGAAGACTTTATTTCTTATTTTTATAAACAACTCGAGGCGGCCAATGCACCTATGGCAAATATATTTAATTTATGCGATAAACGAATTAGATAAATGTATTGTTATTTAGCTAACTTATGCGCAGATCATCTCACCAGAACCGACTCTAAGCAGCTTACGGACATTCAATTAAAATGCACACTCAAACATTGAAACAAGAAGGAAGGACTGTGCATTTAAACTTTGATCAATATATAAAAGGAGAAAGACCACTATACGCATCATCACAAAATCTCCAGAACTGTAAAGCCTTCAAACTGGAAATTTGGCACATATCTTCCTCTTGGCTTCTAGGTGCTCGCTAAGAAAGGATTGTTCGAAATGACCATCAGAGCATTAGTATTTCCTATATTATTCTTATTATTAACAGGCTCTGATGCTAAGGAGTTCTACTCCCCCTCCCCACCTGAAACGAAATCTGTTCCAAATGCAAAACCCAAGCGGAGGAGAGGAGTTTAAGTTTCAGTTTCACAGCACCAAGCAGCTTTAGTACAGAACAGTTGAGCTAAGCCACGCCCAGGCTCCTTGCTGTCTCCTTCTTGCTCAGACAGCAAATACTTTTTCAGTTTCCAAACAGCCCTCAACTCTCTCACACACTGAACAGGACACTAGCCAGATGAATACCGATGGATGCTGGTAGGCAGATTTTTTTTTTCTTATTTTCCTCCCCAAAATCTAAGCCCATCACAGTTTCGTAGCGAAGCATGGGTATCCAGCTAGTAAAGTAATAAAGGCTGTCCTATCTATATGTCATGCTTCGGACGCCTGGCTCATAAAAGTCCCTTTATATTTTTCCTGAATTTATTCTGCATGAAACTGGTCTTGAGGTTAGCGCAAGATTTAGGCCAAACTGTCAACAGAGAAGTTAGTTTAGCAGCAATATAAATCTTATTGTTGAAACAACTTTGGAAGATCACTGTTTCTTGGTAAGAGATAATAAATCTGATCTAATTATGAACGACACCATTCAAATCATATCTCCCTCTCTGTCCCTCTCTGTCCCTCCCTCCCTCTGTCTCTCTGTATCCAACATATATGTGTGTGTGTGTGTGTGTGTGTGATCCATCCTATCTCTGTCTCTCTATCTCTTCCTCCCTCCCTCTGTCTCTCTCTGTATCCATCATATATATATGATTCATCCTATCTCTCTCCCTCCCTCCCTCCCTCCCTTTCTCCCTCCCTCTTTCCCTCCCATCTTGTTTTGAGCTCAATTATTGTTTAATATATGCACAGCAACCCCATTAACACTTAACACAACACTGCACCTCCCACAGAATAGCACAGGTTCTGGCAAGCAACATTCTTTGGATGCAACCAAGTTTTGCAACAGTACGCCATCCACGATGCGCTCAGCCCAAAGAAGAATGATGCTAGCTAAAGGGACAAAGGCTTGCAAAAGAGAAGAAGGCCCTTTTTGAACATAAGCACGCACGCTGCTTAATGTGAAGTTTTAACAGGGTTGGAAGGCACCTTGTGGGTTATCTAGTCCAACCCAAGCAGGAGACCCTACGCCATTTCTGACAGGTGGCACTCCAGTTAAGTCTCCAGGGATAGCCGTGAGAAATAAGAAGGTGAGTTCAACTTTGTTTAAACAAGTGAAACTCATCCATCAAGGACCGGCTCATTTTTTTTCCAGAGAGCTCATATGGACCAAACCTGTCTCCTGGTGCCCCCCTCTTATCCCCATGGAGACCTACCTCTGCCGGCTGCTCCACCGCCTGAGGCATCATCAGTTGATTGTGATGCTGAAGGACCATCTTCAAATAGTCTAAAACAGTTTGGCACGGCACTGCAAAAAACAAGGGACATTCCCACGATCACACCCATGCTTATTCGATGAAGAACAAAACTTAGTAAAGCCAGGATCCCCAATCCGGAAGGAAGGAAGGAAGGAAGGAAGGAAGGAAGGAAGGAAGGAAGGAAGGAAGGAAGGAAGGAAGGAAGGAAGGAAGGAAGGAAGGAATTGGAGATGGGAGGTGAAAGGAAAGAAGGAATTAGAGATGAGAGTTTGAAGGGAGGAAGGAACGAAGGAAGGAGAGATGGAGGGTCAAGGGAAGAGAAGGGAAAGAGAGGAGAAGGAAGGAAATAGTGATGGGAGAGTTAATGGAAGGACAGAGGGAAAGGGAGGAGAAGGAAGGAAGGAGAGATGGGAGGGTTAA